AGAGAGAGAGAGAGAGAGAGAGAGAGAGAGAGAGAGAGAGAGAGAGAGAAATTGAAATTTCTCCAGTCCTCTGCAGTCTCTCTACGAAAAATTGTCGTGGTACTCGCTTAACAAGACACTTGATTTCTTACGTAAGCGCATTTATATTTAGACTCTAATCGTTTCGATATTGCTTCCGTAACGACATCGAACTGACACCAACCGTTGGGAAAATTTTCCTCTCATCGATTTGCGTACGCGGTCACGTAGGAGCGATCTTCGACTCCCCGTTACGGCGTGCAACATCTAATTAGTCTGCTCTCCTCCACAACAAGGCGACACGACGAATTACGTCAGATCCGCGCGTTTCTCACTCTTCTTTTTTTTCCTTTTCTTTCGCTTTTACTCGTCCTTATACGTTTTTATCCGCGCGATCGTGACGATGACGTCGGGATATCTGCGAGGCATTAAGCCGCGTGACTCGTCGAATCGCCGATGGATCTCGGCCCACTGCTCTCTTTTCGGTAGGAACGACATAGCAAGGCTCACGCGAAGAATAATATCGCGAACGAGGAAGCGCAATTTTCGACTCACAGACAGTGTCGATTACGCGCCACTGACTCGGCGATTACTAAAAGATATCGTTGAATCTACAACGTGTCGACAATTCACTTACGAACCTAGGTTTGATTCGCAAATGTTAGAAATAAACGAATCAAGAATTTTCCGAATCGAATCGACTTTTAACAAATTTTAAGAGCATCATGAACAGCTTGGCTCTGTAGGAGCCAGTTGCTGAATAGTAGCGCGAATAATTTGAAACTACGAGAGGGGGTGATAATATTTGAACGTACGATAACACAAATGTCGAATATTTTTCAACTGTTTTGAAAGAAAAAAAATCAAACCAACCTGAATCACTTATTAATATTAGAACTCTTCTACCTCTACCTAATTAATTGATTCCTTTCAAGAGAAACAAGAAGGTTCAGATATAATATACAATAAAAATGGCTATAACTCTGAAGCAAGGTCAAATAGAATGCATATAAACTTTTTTAACTGTTTTCATGTTCCGCCGTTTACGTGGATCCTACATATTATGCAATACTCAGGCGCATTATACGGAGTGATTCCCGTATAAAGTGACCTATGTGATCTTTAGCGAACTTTTAGGAAGATGTATAGAAGAATATATCAATATTCAAGCAAATATATTGAGGGGGACATCACATACAATGGACACGATTACTTTATAGATAAAGATGTTAAAAACATTTGGTCGCGACTGTAATTTTTTCAACGGAATGAGTTTTTTAACACAAGTCGATTCTCCAAATCTTTCTGCTTGGAAACGTATTGGGGTAAAATTACAAAAAAGTGAATAATTTCCAAGATATTTTATCTTGATACTTTTCATCACACACACACACACACACACACACATAGGATGTGAAATGTCTAATAAAATATTCACCTTTTGATGCTCTTACTTCAGTGCTTTTAGAATAACTTGAAAAAGCCAACTATATTAAAAAATCTGTATGATACCGTTCAAGAAAGTGGATAGTCTGTCCAACAAATGTGCTCTTTCGCGCGTACTATATGATACACACTTCTTTCTTCGCTAACGAGTTAATTACTTGAGATCCTGGAATTCTCCGCATGTGATTTGTCGCGAACGAAATCCCACCCGACAAAGATCTTGATTTCTTGGGCCGAATGGTCGCGCTGTATCTCGATTTGCACGAGCGGAGGCTAAAGTGCAACATGTGCCGGTCGCATAAGCGAGGCAATCGGAGGCGAGGGAGAAGGAGTTTGAGGTCGCTCGTTTGGAATTGCTCGATTAAGGCCATAGACTGCAGGCCCCGCTATCAAAAGACTATCGCACGAGATACGTGCAGTGAAGTGCAGTGATGCATCGGGACTGCCGGCGCGGCGCGCGGTGACGTATTCGCCGAAGATCGGCGGAAAATTTCGGATCGACCAAATTTCGCCGGGGCCGCGGGATAACTGCCAAAGATTTCATCATTTTTATGCCAGTCGCGCGTAAGTTTCGGGAATATCGCTGTGTGCTAAAAGATAAAATTTAATCGGAAACTGTGGAATAATACGGATTCTTAACGAAGCGATTCGTAACACTGACTTATTTGTCTGTCAGGGAAACGGCGCCTTGTTTCATGGTTACGTCGTTCTCGCGGGCGCGAATAGGATGGGACAGGACGATTTTCAGAGAGGGCTGGCGATAATTGCACTGCCCCCGAGTGCAGCGGTAAATCGTACAAATGGTGCAGAAGAGAAAGATTTTGTCGCTGGAAATCGCTCGATTAAGGCCATAGACTGCAGGCGCTACCAATCAGCTATCAAAAAGCTATCGAGCGTGTAAAATGAAGCGCGGTGATGCATTGTGGATGCGACAAACCGACGCGGAAGCTACCGAACGATGGATAAGAGAACTGACGTTATATAAATCCGCTGCAAGTCTAACTGAAATCGATGCTATCGTGCTATTGCTGACAACGATCGACAACGCATAACTCAGAAATTATTAAATACACATCAATAGACATGTTGAGTCTCTCAAACTGACAGTAGGATAAACCAAATTTAGCATGAAAATGTTTCGTGCTCTAATCAAACTTTGGTAGAAATTTAATGCAGTTTTCGAGCAGTTACTGATCAGTTAACTTTCATCCAGAAAGCGCACACTATTAAATATCCCGCGCGGAATTAAATTCCTCGCCGTCTTGATTGGAAATAAAAGATAGTTTATACAAGGAAAGTAGGTTTGAAATGAAGGATAATTCGAGGTTTGACTTGTTTCAACCGAGACAACGATAAGCAAGGAGGTCCTCCCGTGAATAATTCTACTTAAAAATCGCACCAAAGACCCGCAATTTAGCTCGCTCCTTCCTCGCTTCTGACGTCAATCAAGATGGACGATGGACAAACTAATAAGGATGCATTGATACTCTACACAATAACTGGGCGGATATGTACGTATATATTTCTACCGGGGTAATTTATTGGGACTTCAGAGAGATAACGCTTGTTCGTGATATGCCTCGCGAATTTTTCACTGTCACCCATCGTGACAATGAATCGCGAATAACCATCGACAAATGTAACACGATATTCGCAAATTGAACGCGCGATAGCGAGACGTGTGGCAAAGCACGCAAAATATGCAAACGACGAAATGCCACGATATCGTCGGGTAAAGTAAGCGCGCGGAAACAAAGCTCAAGAGCCGTAGAGCATCGGCTTTACAGTGCGATCGGGAAAAAACGTGCCACTGTGTCTAGTCGCGAATAATTGATCCAAGTCATCCTTGAAGTCAACGAACAGCGGCACCATTTTTAGCCGTCGAGTGGTGAACTTAGATCGCACCGTGCGACCTAATATTCGTGGCGCGATTCCGTTGACCGATCGATCGCTGTTGCACACACGCGCGAACGACTCTATCTTACACTCTACGATTTCGCCCTCTCGATTGCTGCACGCCGTAAAAATACCGCGATGTGCTCGCTTTAAACGCGAAAAAACGCGTAGCAGAGAAAGGCCTATCAATTATTTTAAGTCGCGGAATAATCGACGAGCCAATCAACGGTTGGCAATAATCGACAACCGATGCGTCGGAAAGCTGCCGCTCGTAATATCGAACGAGCAATGAGAAAGTTTCGCGACGTGTCAAGAACACGACTTTCGTTCTTTCGTAGCGGTCAACAGCCGTAACTGTTGCGACATCGCCATTTTCACCTGCGCCGCTGCACATACACCCTTGAGAGTGAGAGAGCGAGACTGACGACGTATCACCCGCCGACACGATTTACCATTGTCGACTCGTACATTCTTACGTCCACTCGGCGTGATTTAACGTCGAAAAGCGATCGCACGAGTTTAACTCAACTTCAATTCGATTAAACACAAGAAGAACAATTCGTCAACTACATCTGGCCTGTCATAAATACAACGGCCAGATCTGTTCATCCTTTCGAGTCTTCTCTCGTCTCCTACACTAGGTAAGAAAAAAATGGTTGATCTAACCAAATTTATAGCTGTTTTTTGCTCCAATCATATTTTTTGGTTGTTCCAACACAAAAATGGTAACATGCAATATCAGGCTGTTATCACTAAAACATAGTGGTAGAATTTCATTAAAAAAATTTTTCCTGACTATAAATTGTAGTAATTGTTTCTCTATATAATTATATAGTTACCAAATATTTTTTTCTCAATGTAATGTCTTATTGACTCAAAGAGAAGAGGAACACGCAATGTTCCACGTATTAAACGTACAGAACAGAAGTAGAGACGAGTATTACGCATTGATGAGAGAAGAAGCCAACGAGGTGGCTTCGATGCTGAGGGTCGAGAAGCGGGAAAACTCGCGGCTTGGTCGGCCGGAAATCGAGGAAAACAGGGAGAAGGCCGGGGTGAGGTAGAGGGAAGAGGGAGGAGGAGGAGGTCAGAGGACGGGAGTCAGAGAGAGAAAATGCGAAGCGCTTGCGCGACTAGCTCGTTTCCATGGCTTCGTAACGTTTCGCGTAGCAACACGAGGACTTTTGACCCCGTTCGATTGTCCTTCGAAACGGATCCGTGCGTCGAGGAAGCGAAGCGCATCGCGGACCCGCGATACCTCTTTTCCATCAGCCTTACTAACGGAGTCGTCATGCAGCGTGATTCCGACTTGAAATTTTCATTCTATGTACATCGATCTTGCAAATGTCGTTAAGCTTGAAGGATCAATAAAGAAACTCGATGTATAACACTCTATGTTGTCTCACCTTGTCTTGCTACAAATGGTTACTTACTTATCGTCGTGTCCTCCATATCGAGGCTTTAAGAAACGTTCATTCAAGAATTATTTCATATTTTATGCAATTTAATTCCACTTTATCATCAAAATTACCAACTTACATTAGAGCTATTAAATTACAAAAAAAAGATCAATATTCTATTATCTCAATATTCCCTCCATTGAATTTTCAATGCCCTGAAGGCTCCTGGATACTCGATGCGACCATCGTGATTTATATCCGCCGGAAAATATATGCTTAAAATCCCAGCAAAATATGTAGCAACAAAAAGATGTATTCACGAAATGACACTTGCAGATAAAACAGGCTAAAAACACTTTCCTTTCACTTTAACAATCAATAGATAACTGTAAAATTAACGCTACAAAATCATCGGAAAAGATAGATTAAAAAGGAAAGTTCGCGTTAGTTTTACGGTTATTTATTGATAATTAAAGAAAAGTAAACCATTTGACAAATCTGCTCAATCAAATATCATTTCATGGATAAATAATTTATTGCTACGTATTTTGCAAACATTTTGAGCGAGTGTTTTCTTGCTTCTGACGTCATCCATCAAAAGTTCCGCCTCGAATGTCCGGGAGACTTAATTTTAATAAACAATGTGCTAATCATGTAACTTATTCAAAACAAAATAAGCAAGTGTTAAATAATTAATATGTCTAAATAATAAGATCAATGGGTTAACAAAACTTTCTGTTTTTATAACTTATTATATTTTTTATTGGCTTTAGGTACTTAATAAAAAGGGTAAGAAGGAAGGAGTCGTAAAACTAAAGATAGCAGTTGTGTAAACGCCAATAAGGATTTAAATTTGACTTCGGTACAACAACAAGGCTAAGCGAAAGAAATTGGAAAATTCAAGGTAAAACTCGCGTCCCAAGAAGCATTTTTAGCGAAACAAGTCTCAATGCGAGATTTAGGCCAACATTCGTAATTGTCAATTATTTACAACATTTAATCAAAAAAATTAATTATGGGTTTGCACCCGTGAAACATTTTGTTTGGATTGATATTCCTTGTTGTATGGAATACTTATTATAAGTTGACAAACAAATGTTATAAGTTAATGAACCACAAGAAATTCATGAAATTATGATTACTTATCAAATAATATGACGGATTATGAATGTTGGCTTCCGAGTAAATTCTAAATTTTGACACGGGTAACTCATTCTCACTAAAACTCTTCTGTATAATAGTGAATTTAACACACCTGGAAATATTGTGGCGTATTGCTACTTGTAACCCAGTCTCCTACATCCTAGTTGTCCGCACGATCCAGCATCCTGACACTCAATGACACTCACGTAGATACGATTCAATCGGAGAAATATGTGTTAACTAACGTGATGCTGACGAGAACCACCGATTCAATGTTTCGATGACCGACAAAATATCATAATCACCCGACAAGAAATGTAAACAATGTGCCATTGTTGACATAGTCTCCGCGTCGCGGTATACGCGTTATCTCGCGATCAAGAAAAAGTGCGCGACGTACAAGAGTATCAAAACAATTGATACCTTCGAAAAGATTGAAGGAAAGGACCCACTTGCACGCGACTCGCGAACTGTCGTCCTCTCGCCAATCAATAACGAGCATATTCAGTAACCAAGAAATCATGACAATCAACGAAATATATTTCGCACCTTCACGGTGGACAAATTATTAAATTAGCAAATTATGCGCGCCCACTATATATCGAAAGTGTGGCATTCGTCGGTTAATATGTCGGTTAACATGATCATTAATCACGTTTCCAATCGATTTGTCTTTTTGTGTGGTATCATTGAACGTCTGACAACGGGTGACAACCAGGAGCTGACTCCAGGACGCAGAATGTAGAGATGATGCAGAATATAGTAATGAAGCTTACAACACTTCTTTTTTTCACATATTTTGAATTTTTTAATCTTATCGGAATTTTCAACGCCAATAAACAATAATAATAAAGAAATTGCAAAAGTTTGCTGTTTTATTTACCAATTCCTCCCTCACTCTTATTAATATTTATTAGATTATTTCATGTTTTTCATTGCAATACTCTATTTACAGTTGAGTAAGTTACATAATGTTTCTCATTGAAATTAAGAATTATAGGAAAGATTAAATGTAGCTAAACAAAATAACCATTTGTAGCATAAAAACAGTAGCTTGTATAGTGTTACACCTTAATTCTTCATTGATCCTTCAAGTTCAATGAAATTTGCAGAGTTAATGTAGAAACAAAACTTGAAACGCACTCTTGGCTGCACATGGACGTGAGAAATTTCAAATATGCGCGAGAATAATGTGCATGTGAGCAAAAGATATATTTTATCGAATTAAATAACGATCTACTAAAAATGCAGTATCGAATTTTTTCTAGTAATATACCCGTATAATTGACCTCGTAAAATTAGAAATTTTTCGATAGGTAAATTCGATGAATTAAAATACGCAAATCGAAATAAATAAATAAGTTATTCTTGGATTATATCCCACAAACACACCGAGTCCCAAGTAAACTTTCATTTAATAGAAATTCATCTCGAGATTGTTATTGTGAGCTCTTCAATGACGAGATGATGCAAGAAGTGTGAAAAAAGTGATGAAGTCATTTGTGTACGCACATTCGCGGGAAACATTTAAAAAATACATACATCTATCGAAAAATGTATATTACAAAAAAAATGTTCCTCATCACGGACAAATATAAAATTTTTGCGATATAAGTTCGCTTCCTCTACAAAGACCGGTTAACACCGAAAAAGTAATAATAACAATGTTAATAGTAAACAACTAATAACAAAAATATTTCTATCAAAACTGTGTTCTCCAGAAAACGACTGTTACGCTCCGCGCGCAATAACGTTAGAGAAACTATTTTACTATGATCAAACTGCTAATAGCAATGTTACTAACAAAAATGAAAAATTCTCAAATATGTTCAACAAAGTTAGACAATTTTAAACGATCTGTTATTAGCAGATATATGTTGTATACAAATTTGATCATTTTTATAGCACGATTAGTCAAGACAAAATTTTTTTTATTAGTTATTAGTGTTACTAACACATATCTAGTTCAATTTTCTGACAATAACATTTGCTTTCAACATCCTTCAATCTAGATCGCCAAGTGATAAGTTGCAAAAATAATGACGATGCTGATAAAGTTATCAACATGTTATCCAAATAAGTAACTTTTATTAATAACATTTATTTTCTGCAAAATGTTGAAAACAAATATTATTAAAATTTTTTGTTCCAAAATAACAAAGTTCATAGTAAAATGTGATTGTCTTATTAAAAACGTTTTCAACAATTTTGAATCAGGCTATTTATCAGTAATACTGCCAGAAACACATGTTATTAGAAATGTTATTACTGGTGTAAACCAGCTCTAATACACGCAGTTTTTTCTTTGACGCGTGACTTCTGAATGCGTCCCTCGGCTTAGCACACTTATGGGATTTATTCCAGAATGTATGATAAATTCTTCTCTCTCCCCCCTCTCCCTCTCTTTCACACACACTCTCTCTCCCCTCTCTCTCTCTCTCTCGCTCATCCTCTCCGCGCGTGTTTATTCCGCGAAGGTATTCCGTTGACATCGGTCGAGATTTATGTCGAAGCAGCTGATCGCAATTTGGCAAGAAGCGTGCCTCACAAGAGCGCTGGCGCAATCCGTACGTTCGTGTAACAAAGTACCAGGAAAATTTGCCGAAATGCGAACACGCGGGCGCGCGCAAAGGCGAATGCTACCAATTAAATGCCACTAATACTTGGGCGTTTCGCAAACTCGAGAGCGTGCGGACGCTGACGCGACGGTCGCGTTTAATTGCACGATCGATTAATATTTCATCCGGTACAGCTTTTCGCGCGACCAATTAAGGCGAATCAATTACGTGTACCAAGAGGAGGTTGAACGTCGAGGTCACGTAGTCGGAACTAAAGGGAAAAAAGAAAAACGAGAGATTGAACGAAGAAAAGACAAAAATAAGATTGTCTATATATATATATATATATATATCGAATCAAGCAGAATCGATATCGACGCGCTATAAGAATTCCAACAACGACGGAGCCTATCTATTACGTACACATGCATGTCTATCGTTGTGGACAAAAGTATGCAATATTTCGTGCGAAAATATACTGAATCTCGAGGCTGGATATAATAATGGCAGCTCGAAATATCAACCGATAACCCGACGATGACCATTCCGAAAAAAAAGAATCGGTTTGGCAGCGTTCAACGAGCAATGTGACGATTCGTCGTCCGATGCAAATGTACAAGCGAGTGTCGCGTGGGAGTGCGAATGCATCTCGCTCACTCGTACACCTCGCTCGCTGCACACTTGCTCGCACGTTCGCAACTTTATAATCGAGCGCGCCGATTTTCAAGGATTACCACGTGCCAGCCAGCGCTGCTCCTTCACGAGAGAACCGGCCGCACTCGCGCGTCACTCTCAGGGAGAGTGAAACACTTCGACCGTATAAAACTGCCATCGCACACGCTCGACATAACTTCGGCTCGCGCGTGTGCGACGATTTTTGCAACGGGCCGACCGAGAACGCAATTAACCCTTGCGTTCCCAAAACCGGATTGCGCCGGTTCCCATGATATTTTTAGGAATAACTTTACATATAGACTTATCTCGTTGCATAAATATCTCTGAGAAATGTCAATACGATCAGACTCGAATGCGTTCTACGCAAAATCTACGTCTGAAAAACAAAATATTCTCGACTATTGTCGGAGTCTCATTCTTCTCCTTTCGAACTCATGTTAAAAAGAAAAATGGAAAGAAATAATAATAATACTAGAAGTTAAAAATATTACGCTGAAAAAGAAGTGTCTAAACTTCAAAAGAATATGTTTCTTTGTTCTTAATAATAATAATAATAATAATTGTTTTTTTAATAATAAGATTTTTTTTACTTAAAGATATTTCTATAAATAAAA